AAACTTATATTAAAGTTTTTTTTATTACCCATTCAAGCCGTCTCCAGCCATTATTAGTCTCAAAGTGGGTTCCTCGTCATCGAAGATGACATCAGTTAAGAAGGCTGTTAGCCTTAAATTATAAAATATTTGAACCAAAGATCGCTTCCTCTTTAATCTTTAGAATTGAAATTATTAAAGTAAAATAATATTAAAATGTAAATACATTTACTCTGATGATTGTGTGTCAAATGCTTACATTTATTTTAATTTCCAGAATGATTAACTTCAGCCAATCAGCTGGCTGTGGTACTAGTGATATTTACTTTCTTGTTTAGTATGAATAGTGGCCGACGGCAAGGGATTGAGAAAGGAATTAGGCGTAGTTTATCGCTACTGTTGATATGTATTTTATGAAATTGAAATCGAGTAATGAAGAGACTATTTTAAAATTTATTTATTTGTTTTTTAAAAGCTTTCTCATCTATACGTTAAGTATGCTCGTATCGTTATACTAACTACAGAAGCTAAAAAGAGAAGTGTGCGTAATTCAGTTTTTGCTTGGTTGTATAAAACCGGTCGACGTTAAACTTGCAATACAATTGTGATTATTCTCTAGCTAGCCTTGCGAATTGCAGTGAAGGCAACATCGCTTTGTCAAGTATCTGTTTTAGGTTTAACTTAAACTTAGCATAACTTGCACATTAGACAAAGTGGTTATAACCTGTTCTCAAACGAATTGACTGTTGGCGGTTTATGTACCAATAACGTCAGTAATAATTAGTTAAATTAATAAACTGCAGTTCGTTACTTTAGAATTAGAAGTAGTTGAACTACTTAAGTATAAAGTAAAGGTCTAAAGTACCAGCATCATTCCCTCGACAATAGCCCGGAAATATGACTGAATATAAACTAGTTGTTGTCGGAGGTAAGTTTTACTTTTAAGCAATTGTTTGTTAAATTAGATTTTTACGGCTGATTACAAAACAAATGTACTTGAATTTTAAATCATAAGGTTTAGAATAAAATATAAAATTATAAATATGATATAAATTACAATTGTGTGATATTAATAATTGCACTATAATTTTTCTTTGTTTCTGTTACTGTTATCTGGAAAGAATCGTATCTTTGGTATTGCCTAAGTTAATTTCGTTTACTACTAGTACTAGTGGTAGTACACTAAAGTACTGTGATTTAGGGGATAGTTGAAAGTAAGATTAACTTTATTAAAGGATCATTATATTTACATGTTGCATTACTTGACACAATTTAATAACCTTTAAAAGTACTTATGTTTATGTAGGATTTGAAAGAGTGAATAACTGGTATTTAAGTTTATTTAAACATCAGTTAAAATAAAACGTGTGGAAGTTTATGTAGGTTATTGGACTGGGAGTGATCACACTCTTAAAAATATAACTTATAAGCATTAGTTGAGACATAATGCTGTATTATTATAATAAAATGAGAATGTTTAAAATCATGGGAGAATGCATTGGTGTGGAATTAGGCTCTGGGCTAAGAGTAAGATTGTCTTTGGTGTTCTGTTTTCACCCAGTGATTCTTTTCTCACAATTGCATATTTACAAATATTATTTTTCTTTTCTATTATTCTTTGACATTTCCTCGTGCTTAATCATCTAACATCAAAACAGTAATATTCTTTAAAATTTTCTAATTTTCTTCCTTTTTTTTTTAGTTTTTACGCCCATTTAACTTGAAAAACCACATAGCAACAAACATGTTTAAAATCAAATCAAACTGGATTTTAAAAGCTTTTAATATTTAATTATAATTAGGAGGAATAACTTATATTTTTAATGAGCAGTCTTAATGCAAAGCAGAAATAAAATTGCTAGTGAAAGATTTTATTTATGTTGAATTATATTACACCCCTCCCCAGTGGCACAGCGGTATGTCTGCGGACTTACGACGCTAGAATTCGGGTTTGCGATAGCCATGGTGGGCAGAGCACAGATAGCCCATTGTGTAGCTTTGTGCTTAATTACAAACAAACAAAATTATGTTACACAAGCTCACTTACTGGCAAAAAAATTGTATTTTGAAACCATGGTAAGTCTACTTGGGTGTAGATGCTCATTACATTAACTCGGGCACACAAGAGCAAAGACTAACTGGATATGGGTAAACAGATTACTTTTCTTTCCAAGTTTGTACATCATCAGAGCTATACTAAACTCTAACTAGCAGTGACAAATTTTCTATTTTAAATTCATAATGATGATAAATTAACTAAAAGAATCATTCAATTGGACTTGTATGTTCATGTTCAGTATCCTCTGTTCAACCTTTAACTCGTCTCTTCAAAATCAACTTGTTTCTGAAGTGTACAATATTGCTTGGAAAATAATTATAATGTAAATATTTCTGAAGTGTGTAATTCTGTAAACACATCGTATTTTACTATTGTTGTAATGAGAGATGACGCATATGTTCATGTTGTAACATAATTTGTGTCTCTAAGTTTACAATACAATGTTGTACGGTCATGGACTAGGGGCATGCAAGCCATATTTCTGTAGATAGTGCTCACTGTTCTGATTTGTACATATCCTGCCTGGTAACCAACTTGTGATAGATCAGAATGCTTCACCTTCCGAGCATGCTTTTAATACGATGTAAGTTATTGAATGCAAATTTTATTATTTAGGTCAGATGTGTCATTGATGTTAACTTCAATATTATGATATTTTTTCTTTATATTGTTGGTTGTTTTCTATAATTGTGTTAATATTATCTAATAAAACTTTAGAGAAAGACTGTATAAAAGTGCTGTCAAAGAGATAAAAAATGGCTAGTCTTCAACATCAATGACTATTTACCTGTTCTTTTTACAACACATTTTGAACATTAAAGCTTGTTTTAGTTCTTACATTCTGGGTAAGGGATGTCAGATATAGCTCTGATTCTAACTTTCCTGATAGTTTTGAGGTGTAGATATTGCAAAATTGGTCACAATGTCCACTCATTATAGTATATAGTAATTTGTTTTAAATCTAGAAATATCTATGGGGTTCAGGAGCTTATTAAACACTTCTAAACTATTCATGCACCAAATTGCTTATGGGTTAATGAACTTATTAATTACCTTATCCCTCATATCACGAGTCACACACACACACACACACACACACACACATGCAAAACAAATTTGGTTACATTTGGAGTATTGGGTTTAGGCTCCTTACCTTAGGAAGGACGTTGAATCATTGGAAAGTGTTCTGTAAAAAGAAGGGTTAGAAGGGAATCTGATTGAGGTGCTTAAGATTGTTAAAGGAATTGGTAGTGTTAATGCATCATCTTTGTTTGTACTTAATAGTGAGAACTGTAGGACTAGGGGACACAACTATAAATTTTGATAGGGTAGGAGTCAGACCCATCTAAGATAGCTTCTAACAAGGTAGCTGTCTTTTAGAATGGGTTGCCTTTAGATGTGGTGGAGACAGTTAATTTAAGGGAGTTTAAGGAAAGACTTGATAAATATCTAAATAATAAGGGCTGGTTTTGAGTGTTTTATTTTTATTTAAAGTTTAGTGGATGGGATGACCAAGATGGACTGAACACAATGTTCTAAATAAGGACTAGCTAATGACTTATAGAATGAAATTATAACCTATTTAGACTTATAAACACCAAATCCCTTTTTTCCTTCCATAACACAATTAAGGTTATTTCCATCAAAATTTTACTTAAATTTGAATTATGATAACCCATATACATTATCTTACATTTATTATAATTAAAAGCCATGTGCCATTTATTTGTCCAACAGGCCAAATAATTTAAATCCTTTGTAAAGCAGTAATATTCTATTTATACCCAAGATCTTATTATCATCACTTGTTTTGTTTTTAGTTCTAATTTATGCATGTAGCTTGCTTTGATCAGAAGTCAATATTAAACACACAATATTACAATAAACACATTTACTCTTGCATAAAAAATTTTGTAATTCTATATAAGAAAAAGCAAGGTGACAAAAGTCTCTGCCCTATCAGGGTCAACCAATACTGATAAAAACAAGCAACCAAAATGCTAAATCAGAAATAATTTATCATAACTTGTATCCAGTAAAATTTTAAAATAGTTCATGCTAGCAGCATTTATGCTGCGTTATCAGATATACTACTCCACAAGTTAATTATTTTACTGAAAAATTAACTTTGTTGAAGATTTTTTTTTAAATGAGCAATCTTCCAATCATCTGGAATTTAACATAATATATTGTCCAACAATGGACCTTTTGGTCCATCTAAGCTGTCCTGATCTTTAAATTAAACTAAAACTATTAAATGAAATAAAAAAATAAAAACCTTCAAAGCCAGCCGTTATCATTCATATAGTTATCAAGCTTTTTCTTAAACTCACTTAAATTTACTACCTCCACAACATTCAAAGGCAACCAATTCCAAAGGCCAACCACCCTGTTAGAAAAGTAAAACTGTTTAAACTGAAGATGACTCTTACCTTGCCAAAATTTATATTCGTGTCCCCTAGTCCTACCATTTTCACCATTAAGTATGAAAAAAGATAATGCATCAACACTGTCAATTTCCTTAACAATCTTAAATGCCTCAATCAGATTAAATCTAAACTCTTTTTTTTTCAAGAGAAAACAATTTCAGTGATTTTAACCTCTCTTCATATGGCAACCCTTCCATTCCAGGCATCATTCTAGTAGCCCATCTCTGAACCCTTTCTAACAATTCAGTGTCCTTCCTAAGGTAAGAAGCCCAAGACTGAACACATTACTCCAAATGTGACTTAACTAGTGACCTATACAATGAAATTATAATCTTTTATTATTCAATATTTCTGCAGAATCAACCTAAAATCCTATTTGCCTTACTACTAGCAATAGCACACTGCTTGAATGGCTTAATTCTTTAAACCTGTAATTTTTTATGCATTTTGTGGAATGATTTTCATGATTTATTAATAATTATCACCATACCTTATAAAATTTAATTTTTCTTAATTTTGTTTTTTCCTTCAGCATCAGTAATACCCACTTGAAGCACTATTGAGGTAAATAGGCCCAAACCTCTTTCTGCTGAACATTTGGTGTCACCATCCAATGGGTAAATTGGGATTTTAGGCTGGATACTTGCAGCGTCTGCTCGGGTTTAAGGAGTTATGAGATTGATCAACCATTACACTAATATCCCTTTCTTTCATAACACCGTTAAGGTTATTTCCATCCAAATTACACTTATAATTCAAATTATGGTAGTCCACATGCAATATTTTACACTTATTATGATTAAAACCCATCTGCCATTTATTCACCCAACTCACTAAATGATCTAAATCCTTTTGTAAAGCAGCAGCAGCAGTATCCTCAGATAGAAACATCATATGACTTTTGAAAACTCTTATTCTTTTTGCTAAACATTGAAAGTTTAGAATAAATATCGTTATGGATTAACTTTACATTCAAGCAGTTTACCAAGCTTTTGTAATGCAGTTTTAATTTCAACAAAATTATAATTTAAGGAATGTTTGTTTTCATATCTAAAACAAATTAATCAGATTGAGTCATTTCTCTATCAGTAAAGGCAAAGTTGTTTCAGGTGCAGTTACATGTACCATAATTCTTTAAAAACTGACTTGGGTATGCATACTCTTAAGAGCAATTTAAGTGCCAAATTAATTAGATATCACATTGTGGTATTCAGGTTCACTGATGTCCAATAGAAAAGCAGGAATTTTCTGTAAAAATGGAGGTTCAGAATTCTTGGTAAAGAATAAATTGAACATGGACAGCAAAGGAAAACAAATAAATAGAAAATATTTTTTTATCCTTACAAATGTAACCACCACATATATTTAGCTGGACAGATGTTTCTAAATAAATCCTCAGGCTTCTCTGACATTCTCTCTTTACATCTGCAGCTGTACTGG